AAAAAAAAAAAAAAAAAAAGAAAAAAAAAGAAAAAAAGGGCAGATCTTATTAAAAACCATTTACATACCCAATGGTATGAAAGTGTCACCGCCTCCCCGCGCAGATAACAGCCTATCACAACCCGCCCTCTAATTTCTAAGGCTTTACTCCGACTTGCTACTTCCACCTTCTTGTAAAAAGTCGGCGCTGCGTGTGTGCTCCTTGCTCGCCGCCTGTGTGTGACTCGGGGCGCTGTGTGTGTGTCTGTCTGCGCTGTGTGTCTGTCAAGAGCCGTTCCGAGCCCGAGCCCGGCGCCCCGACCCAGCCGGGTTTGTCCCGCGGAGCCTGCGGCGGAGCGGGCGGAGCTGCCCCGGCGGAGCAGCCCGCACACACCCGGGCTCGGTGTGTCCGTGTGTGCCTGCTGGTGCTGGGGGCACCTCCGGGGCTGTTTCTGCGCCCGCGGAGCCTCCGCGCCCTCCTCCTGCCGGGCGGCACCGCTGCTCCCGCGCCTTCCTGCCCCGCTGCCCCCAATTTCTGCGCCTCCGGGGCAAAGCCCTGCCGTGTCCGGGGAATGTGCGTGCGGAGGCGGCGGCGGCGGCTCCTGCCCGCTCGGCTCCGGAGCAGAGAGCAACCCGCAAGCTCCGCCGATCGGTCACAGGGGAGAGCTCTCGCTCCGCGCACCGCGGCTGCGGCTCCGCGCCCGCCGGCGCCCACCCAGCCCCGCTCCGCAGCCGTGCCCCGTCCGTCCTGCGCTCCGCTCCGCGGCTTTCCCACGCCTGCCGCGGGGAGCGGCACCCCCGACCCACTGCCTCGCAGGGACCTGTGCCCTCCGCTTGTTCATTTCCTCAACGGTTGTTCTGGTTTTTTTTTTTTTTTTTTTCCCGGCCCAAGGTTGGAAGGGCTCTGGAAGTTTTCTATCCCGTTGAGAAGACGCGATCCATGTGGGTAACGCTGCAAGCCCCTCCTGAGCTCGCCCTACTTCTCCCGCCAACCACAGGGATCTAATGTTCCCCAAAAGTGGCCACAGGCGTTTCCACAGCACAATTACTCATCACCTATACGGATTAGTATATATGCAGAAGCTCTGGCTTGCTGTGGTTGTGATACAGAAAATAACTTTGTTCATACTTATTTTGGCAAAATATTTATGTCCATAGATTCTTTTGGCTTCCTTCCCCCCTTCTTTAGCTGGCTCTAATACATTCCCAAAGAGCCATTCCAAAGGCGCTAGAAAGAAGGCAATGAGTTGTTTTATATCCAAATGCTATATAAGCCTGACAATCATGATTTATTTCGTTTCAATCAAGAAGATACCTTTCCACTTTTAATTAGTCACACTAAAAATTTTACAGTCAACTCTCTTCCTACTAAAATAAAAGTTAATTAGGAAAAACTAAAATAAGTCGTTGGAAGCTACCAGTTTAAGGTCACTTAAAATAGTCCAGAGTTATTTATAATGTCAAAATAAAATTTTCCACTGAGTGCCCTAACAAAGTTTCAGGTATCTGGCACAGCTGATTTTCAGTCTCTGTGCAAAAATATCTTTCTGCTGAATATTTACACATTTAACAGGAACTTACTACAGTCTGGAACAGATCACGGGTCAGAGTTCTAGAATTTTATTTAAATGGTTATGGACAAATTAATAAAAGTACCAGTAATATTTATGAACCTACATAAAAGCTGGATGGGATTTTTCAGCAGAAGTCATTCATGTTATGATATATATAATCTGGAACGTTGGCTTGGATTTGGCTGGAATGGAGAGCAACCCTGCTGCTCGGCTTTCCTCAGGTTTTATTTCAGAACTTCTCGGAATTTTAGCACTGGTTGCAAAATGGGTCATATTTTAAGATCTTAGAGAATTGTAGGAGGTTGGTGAAAAAATGTGCTTGCGCTGCAAGTTATATCTTAACAAACACCTCCAGATCCACTTTACAGTATTGAATTTTCATTAGTATGGCTGTGCGTGCTGCAATTTATATTGTCTTTTAGCCTTTTCACTTTTAACTGTGTTATGAATACAGCCATAATTAGACTGCTTTTGGACAAAAAGGTAATGTTTTAAAGAGAACTGAGTTTGTTTACCATCACATTTCTAGAACATAGGCCCAGTATGCTCTTGTTGTAAGTACTGGGTGCTCAAGATGAAAAATAATTATCAGATATGAAAGATTCTAACCTGGATGATGTTCCCTAAATAAATAGTTTCAATGCCAGTTTGCTGGGCTGGAATGTTCTGCAAACCCAATGAATACAGAATTTATTTTGAGCCTCTCTGTGTATGTAAATAGCCTTTGTGAAATGGGAATAAATGAATGGGTTCACTGGGTTTGTTGCTGTATTTGATATTTTTAGCCAGAGAGACTACAGCAATGTCAGCATTATTACTATAGTGAAAGAATTGCCAATATCTACCTTCCCTAAGTTTTTAATTCACTGAAATGCACACTGAAAGTGTGCATTGAGCCAAAATATGTGAACTTAAGTAAACTTAATGCTAGAGCAGGTTTTGCCTGAACTTCCATTCATTTCAGTAGGGGCAAGATAAGCTCCAGTGTCTCTTGGCAGAGCTTTACTTTCACTTTGGTTGGAAGTTGACTGTTTGCCCAGATATTCTTTGCTTTTTCTTAAGTATGACAAATAGTAACTCTAGATTAGCACGTAATTTGGTCTGCTAAGTAGGCGTGTGACAATGAGTTCTGTAATAGCAGCACTCTTACTCAGACTATGGACTACTATGGTTTGTTTAACTACTGTGTCCCTGCCCCACTGATTTACAGCCCAGATAAAAGAAGATTCTTTGTGTCCTGAAATTAAATTGAAGCATTTAATATTTCAGCATAATGCACTGCTTTTTAGCATTTATAGTCCCTGATATAAACAAAAGCATGAAGATTTGATAGACAGGCTACGAAATGACTGCATTAAAAAATTAACTACATAATTTTACTTTTCCTCCTAGCATTTTCAGTAGGAAGTGGGGACTGAGAGCTAAGAGTCTTGTGTTCTGTCTCATGATCTGATGCTGAATGTTCTGGGATCTCAGACATGACTTTTAGGAAGTTTTCCTTCAGTATAGAATGAGATCTTAACTACTACCCATATATATTTTGATATAGAAAAATATGTATATATATTCTCAGAGGTCCAAAGATGAGCAGGACTCGGCATCCAGTAATACCAGGAAAAAAAATTTGGAAATCTGGTAGGAAACCTACGCTGTCCCTGCTGAAAAACTGTTGGCTTTTCCACAGCACACAGCAAAACGCGGGCTGTACAAACAACAAAGTTTACTGCTTCTGTATTTTTCCTAAATGATATATTTTCTGCTTCTCTTAAGCAGGGACTGTAGGACTGTGGTGTGGGTCCTACTGCAGAGTTTTCCCATTTCCCTCCCTGTCTGCTGCCTCTTATGCTCCATTGGGATTGCATGTATTTCAGAGAGGTTTAAAGCAGCAAATGACAATGTCATCATCATGAGGAGCAAGAACTGTTGGCCTACTTGTCATCTTGTAACAGTGTTGGAAAGAGAAAGTATGACCTGTGCCTTCTGGCACTAAAATCCTGAATGTGTATTAGGATTAGAAAAACGTATGGACTGTCTTTCTCAAATAATTTTTTTTTATTGCAACATGCAAACTAAAAATTAGCTTTAGGAATTTGCTAGGGTCCTCATAGTTAGGGGAAAACTGTCATTTTTCATGGGAAGATCAACTTTGTCCCTTGCCATTAATTCTTCTTCCAGCTTCAGTTTAAATAATTTC